AACAAGCTGGTATTGGTTAACCTTAGGTAGAGGGAAAACAGTCAGATACATGAAGTTTTCTTTTTAGGACCTCACTTTTTCATTTCCTGTTTTGTTTGTTTGTTTGTTTTTTTTCATTTTCTTGTTGGTAACTATCCCAAGTTTTAACTTGCCAACAACATCGCCAGTGCGCTTGGAGAAAGGGTGAAGCCGGAGTGGTATACGCTTCCGGCTAGGGGAAAAGGAGGGTGAAAGGCCGGTCGGAGGAAAAGAAAGGGAGGTGGTTGGTCTAATCCTTACTAGTGGTCACCAGCGGTACCCATGAGTGGGAGAAGAGGGAGAGGGGGACCGGAATTTGTGAGGAGAGGGGTTGGAAGGAGAAAGGCTGAGGGGAAGGGAGGATAACAAGGTGAAAATGTCCCACGCGGTGGAATCTAAATATGTAAGTTTAGTTAGTCAATTGAAGAAGAGATCTCTGGGCCAATCGCAAAGCAAAATGCCCTTGGACTGGTAGAAAGGGCTTATACAAATTACATCCGCTTTCACTGTTACGTGCATAGGCGAACATCTTTCGATCATTGTTCTACATGCCATCTTTTGACATGTTATGTTAAGGGCTGAAAGAGCTTTTAACTCTGAAACTGGCAATTTTCCAGTTATTAGCGGAACAAATGACAGATAAATGACAATTACTAACCTCAAATGGCTGAAGAAGATTGCGGATTGTGCATGTTTCCCTATTAATGGGACGATTCAAACACTTTTAGTGTAGTCGATCGGCTCTCAATAGTGACCTCCGGTAGTTTTGGGCAGAAGCATATGATATGCTTCTGTTTTGGGCTACTGCCGCTTTTAATGTTCGCAAGGTGTAAACATTCAAAACAGTCGATTTATTTCTCCCGGAATGACTTTTTGGTACTCCCAACCTTAGTTTCATGTCAAATAAATCCATCTTTCATGACTAAAATTCGAGTTTTAGTGTAAAGAAATCCGTTATGGTTACATTTTTGACGTAGGCCAGGTTACATAGCATAGCGGAAGATGGCATGTCGAAAGATGTCACCTATACACGTAATACTGAAAGCGGGTGCAAAACGAAAATGAAAACATATATTTGATTATGTCTCGGTCTGTCTTTAACAAAGAAATTTTAGTCTGACAAATCACGCAACGTGACCATGTTATGTCATAACATGGTGGTCATTTTCGTGCTTTATTTTGCTACGGTCAGTTCGTATCAACCAAGATTAAAATCTAGTTAAAAGAGGGAAGTTTCAGAAGACTGTTTGTACGAGCCGGCCTGTTTGATGAAACATTCAACATCGTTATAAAAATAGCGGACACTCCAAAACGCACACCATGCAGACTGCAGACCGTGAGGACCAGTGAAGACTGTGCAGACCGTGAATACTGAGTACCTTTTTTTGCCTCGTGTCCACGTGACTTTGGTCACGTGGACACGAAGGTACGGAGTGAGTTCGGTACATTCCTGTGTAGCCATTCTTTGGGTTCCTAATGTAAGATTCCTGTGAATGGCGAAAAATACTAAAAAAGTCGGCTAAAAAGTCGACAAAAAAGTCGACAAAAAAACTTGTTGAAATCACCTCACTTCCATGCGAGCACGTGATGTGTACACCAGTTTACATTTTTCGTAACAGTAGGTCGAGAAGGAGTTGTCAACTTGAAAATTCTAAACGAGTCAAGTCAATAGTCGAGTGAAGTCGAGTCGAACAGTCGAGAAAACGTGTAAATTTGATCGCGTATCCGAGATTAAAGTTTATTTTGAAGAAAAGACGAATCGAACAATCATTACAATTTTTAGCATGTGTAGCCTCTACACAGGCTAGCATGAGAGCATAGTCTAAACTTTTAGACAATTCGCGAATTACCCAGAAGTTATTCTCGCTGACTGGTTTTCGATTCCTCTGATATCAGTATCATTTCATTCCGTGAAATAAAGCAACAAACAAGAGATTTAAGTTTAAAATTGTCTTAAATATATAACCGGATAAACATTCCTAAAATGGACGACATGGAATTCGGAAATTAGGAAACCCTTTTGGTAAACGGTTGTAAATACTGAATTCCCAAAAATCTAAATGGAAGCATAACATGGGGAAATCTAGGGGGATCACAGGCAATGAGTCGCTTAAAAACTATTATATAATGTACACTTTCCGAGAGTAAGCAAACAGGTATAGATTACAAAATTAATTGTCAATAATTAAGGGTCGAGTCGGGCCAGATCAAGGCAGGTCAAATTTTATTGGTAAAATTAACAGAAGTAAAAATGTATATCTAGTGTTACGCTTGCATTACACTTGTTTGGTTTGGAAATGGATTTCTTCGCAGCAACACGAGGCAGCCCAGGCCGGGACCTTTGATTTCTTACCGTTAGTTTTCACATTTACTTTTGACTCCCATTTTTTCGGTTCTTGTTACAAAATAGTGCTTAAAATATCGGAAATATTGTTAATTACCCACAGGCCGCACAAACTCAGTACCTGACTGTTGACTCAATACATGTAGACAAACGCGTTTAAGAGACTTTGTATGGGTAATTCCCTGTAGTCCTTAATATTCCCAAAATAAAGCATAGGAACAAACTTCACTTACCTCACCATAGGATGTTCTTTGTGTCTTCCATACATCTCGGGTGCAAATTGTGTCCATTTGAATCGCCATTAGATTACGAGTAGTACTTCCAGTTCGGTTAGTCCGTCGACCGCGCCATTCTTTTCTCGAGGTTTATTCATAGATGCCTCCAGACATTTTTTCCTCACGGTTTTCTTTGACTTCTGTTGCGTCACGCTCGACGGACTAAGCGAAAGAGGGACTACTCGTAATCTAAATCGCCATAAAAACACCAATGTCATAACGCCAGATAAATTTACCATCGCATCAACTTATCACGGCAACCGTATCGCACTGAGCATGTCAAATAATGTTCGGTTCTCTGTCATCTTTCCATGGGCTCGGCTTTTTTCGTATGATCGCTGACACGCTCCAACGATCACTTGGAATTATATTTTGTAAACCAAAATTCTACTTGTGAAATTACATTACAAGTAAAATTTTAAAATAGCTTTATTTTTAAAGCATATTTAGGACTAAAGGGCCGGAGTAATTTTTACAAAATCTATGAAGCGATCGTCTGTTAGAGACCACTGAATCAACAGTCACATACTGAGCTTGTGTGCAGTGTGGCTTGTGCATAAATAACAAACACACCGATATATATTTGAACGCTATTTTGTGACTAGAACTGAAAAAATGCGAGTCAAAAGTAAATGCAGTCTGCATGGTCTGTCTTTTGAAGTTACCGCGGAAACAGTGATAAATACGTCTGCGCTCCCACGCTAGAGTGAGAAACAGACAAATATCATTATTGTTTCCGCCTTTTATCGAGAAACAAGAAAATCGTATGCGCCATTTCATTTACGCTGTGAATCCTACTTAATAGCCAAATGAATAACAGGCGAATGGGAGCAGCCTTGACGTTATTGGAACAATTCGATGCATTGCAAGTCAGGCGATTTGACAGAAACATAACATGGCCTTTTATCTGTAGCTACCTGTGTGTCAGACTGTTGTATGACATTTGCAGACTGCCGACTTAGCCCTTAATAGCGCTCCGGTTAGTCTGAATATCACTCAGGTTAGCCTGAATAGCGCCCAGGTTAGCCTGTTTACGGTTAGCGGCTATCGATAATGGAGATGAATATACCCTGTTAGCTAAACTCTGTACTTACAACAGTATCAGTGGAACATAACTGATGCGACTCCATGTGACTAAGATTGCGGCAGGCAGGATTCAGTATTGTATTTATTAAATATTGACGTGTGTACCTGGTGGATCAGAAATAGCTGACTCTATACATGTACATAATTCTAAAATCAAAGCAACAAACCTGTGAATCTTTGAGGTCCTAACTAAATTGAAATCCTTTGCACTCTCAAACAGGAACTCGATCTTCTAATAGTATGCACATCTACCAAGGCTCAATCATCAAAACGAATGACGATAGTGAACAATTATTCACTGTGTTTAGTCAGGGTTTAGTGGAGGAGCAATTTCCTTTGCTTTACTTTAGGGATAGCTGGTGAAGTTGGTGATTTTATGGATCAGCTTTTTAACGATGCTCAATGATATCGCAAACCCGTCGCAAATGGTTTCCTTATTAGAAATGGCGGAATCTAAACGAAACCGAAAGTGATTTGAATATTTAACCGAAAAAAGATTCCCTTCATGGGTGGTGTGCTGGACTATTTGTTTGTTTTCTCGATATGTTGAACGGAAATTGGAACAAAAGAGGATGTGTCAAACGGGGATATGAAAGTCATGAAAAGAAAACGATAGGCAAGAGGTAAAGATGATCATCCTGTATAATTGGTTTCCACTACTCAATCTTTCCCACTCTTCCCTTCACGTTAGCATCAAGACCGTCGAACGTCCGATAATATACTTGCTGCCCTTACAGCCTTTGCTTTCGAGCTGTGTTTGTCCATGGTTTGTCGCACACATAAAACTTAAGTCACGCCAAAGAATTTGGAGTCACGGAGCCGTACGCTCGAGTACTGGGTTATGAGTATTCGAAATTTTGCGTAACATAAAACTATCCCGAACTCAATCAAGTTTGAAATAAATAAAATAAAGACATTACAAAGTGTGCCATGGCTTTGGCTCTTCAACCTAGTCTACGCCCCGTTGTCACGAGTGGGCGCATGTGATTGCACGATCTCGCGCGCAACCCACGCCCATTTTGCGCGCGTTTGCTTTTATTGTCAAGGCCTGGGATCTAAACCAACATGGCTGCGGGCGGCTTTTGCTGCGTGTGGACAGTCCTGCGTGTGTAGAATTAATTGATCATGAGCGCTGTTGAGCTGGAAGGTCTGGCATATTTGTCTTTCTTTGATGATGGCTCCTGGTTTCAGGTAAAGTTCTGTTTCATCCCTGTTACTGTTGCTGATGGCATACTGACTAGAAGTGTAGTCTTGTGGAAGACCATGCAAAGGTTTAAGCTTTTAATAAGCTTAACGTGCAAGGAAATATATCGATCGATCAATTAGAGACTTCGAACTCCCTCCCAGGTGTACCCTGGACTTGCTGATGTGCTCCAGACGAGAATTGTTAGTGGCCCGGTCAGAGGTGACTCTATATGGAGGGTTAGGTGGGGGTGGGTGTTGGGTTGTTGAACAGGTTGCCTTAAGATCATGGCGAAGCGTCGCAGAAGGAATGAAGGGACAAAAATGTTCTTTGTATACACTGTGCATCAAAAAATAATAGTCTTTCTCATTGATTTCCGGGGAATGGGGGCATTTGATCATATAGTATAACAGCAGGGTAGGGTATTTAAACACCATTTTTGCCTTGGGGGATAGGAATCTGACCAAATGAAAAAGCAAAATACATAATGCCCAGCAGGGGATGGAGGGGGGAGGGGAGGAGGGGGAGGTTGAAGTTTTGAATATGTCACTTAAATTTGCCATCAAAGCTAATATGTTTGCCCCTGTTGACATATAGTGAATGCCACCACAAATTATTATGACTGGAATTTTATTTATTATTCTTTGGAATATTTTGTAATTAATACAGTCATGTACTTCAAGATTTGCACAAAGTTATTGTTAAAGCAGTAACATGCCCCAGTTGGGTGGGGTGTGAGAAGGGGGTGGGTATTTTAGGTGTGGCCATTACATCCCTATTTCTTGAACCTTCAAGGGAATTGAATATTAATAGCTTTTAGAAATTTGAAGAATTTTAAAAAATGGTAATTGAAAGTATCAGGTCATTTTTCCAATAGTATTGTGGCTGCATTCGCATCTTTCATTCTTTCATTATTTAATTGCTACTTTTAGACATCTATTACTATGGAATTCACATCCTTGAGCTGAGTATTATGTCCACTGAACATATAGGGCTGAACTCACACACGACTGTTCTCATGTGGCTTTGATAGCTCAGTTGGTAGAGCATTGCACCGGTAATGCGAAGGTCATGGGTTCGAATCCCGTTTAGAGCTCGAAATTTTTTCAGGTCATTTTTCCAGTAGTGTTATAGCTGCATTTGCATCTTTCATTCTTTCATTATTTAATTGCTACTGTTGGACAGCTATTACAATGGTAATTGAGTTGGTGTGTGCATTCTTTTAAGGATGTTTGCGCTAATAGTTTCTGTGCATCCTTACTGCACACACAAATTCACACACCATGCCATGCATGAGAGTGCACACTAAGTAATAAATTATAAACATAGCGCATGCACTAGTCCTATCTAATTCCTATTGAGCCATCATGAACGAAATCTCTATGTACGCACGGCCGTGCGTATATAAGATGACATGTACAGTTTTGATTTAGCTGCAAAATTTCCGTTAAGTTTAGTGCAAGTTCCTTTTGTTTAAGTTTCGGCAATCAATGTGAAGATTATTCTGAACAATCCAAACTCGACTTCAAGCCTTTGACTTTTGCCAAGCTAAGATGTTTACTTAAATGCGAGTATTTTGACTTTGTTTGTCTACATTTTCATTGAGTATTTTTGACTTTGTCTGCCTACATTTTCATTATAATTAATTCGAAGAAGTGCATTTTTCATTGACAATTTTAGAAACCAGGTTAAGCATTTTTGCTCATCCATTGCTCAAACGATTGTGGCTTGTTAGGATCCTAATGACCTTTGTTTTCTTCCACCACGTATTGTGAGAACTTTGTAGTCAATCACAAAGAAAACATGTTTTAGCGCCCAAGTTGTTATCGCCATGTTATAAAAGAATTGGTTCATGCTTTTAGCTGTGCTTATATCAAGTTATGGATGCACTTGGGAAGTTTGGAGAGCACTCAAGAAGCTAGAGTTGTTCTTGGCTGTCGCCTTGAGCAACTCTTACGTTTCTTTCATACTCTCCAAACTTCCCGCGTGCAACCATAACTCTATATACGCATGATGACCATGAACCAATTCTTAATTATTAAAAATTGAGAAAGGTAATTGTAGTGGATAAAGTGTTGCAGTGACATGAACTAAAATGCACATTCTGTTTCCTATTTCAGGGAACACTTCTAACAAAGGATAAAAAGCAATATGGAGTCATGGGAGAAAGTAGGCAACCTACATACATGTAGACCTATGGATAATTTAAATTACTGTAAACACTCTTAAGTGCAGCTGTCTTGTGGATTCACAACATATTATAAAAGTTCTGAAGACATGCTAAAACATTTTTTGTGTTAACTTCTTGTGATGGCAAGATCAATAATCAAGGTCTTGGTAATTTTTACTGATTCAGTTATTGAATATTGATTATCAACATCACCTGCAGCAGTCACGCTATACATGTAGATGTAACAGTTACATCAACCTAATGATCCATGATCTAATCTCGACCAAATTACATCACAAATATTTTATCCAATATTAATTAACAGCATGTGGTCCACCAGAGGAAGGATTTGCTGAATGTTGTTTTGATGATGAGCCATTATTTTACGTGATCACCATTATTGATCATGAAGTAAATAAAGATATGGTAAGAATATATTATTTAATTTAGCTGGTTTTTGAGCAGTCTCATTACTGGTCAATCCATTTAGCATAACTAGAAATAGTTAAATTTATTATACCTCTAGGTTTCTATTCAATGGGCACTAAAATTATTTTATTTCAAGCTTATCCCAAACCTGCCAAGCACAAGTAGAGATATCTTGCTAATATCTTGCTAACCTCTTCTTTTCAGTCTGTGCTATAAACTATGGATCCTTGATTTCCTCCTTTGAATTAATGGCCCACAAGCTTCACACAAAAACTCAGTCTGTATCTTTCGTTTCGAACATGGGTAACAAGAGATTTTGTAGAGCGTCAAGTATTTGGTCCAGCAAGAGCTACAATCCTGGCCAAAAGTCCCCGGGACACTTGACAAAATGACAACTGGTGATGTATTATTTTGAAGTGGGAAGTCTTTGTTTAATTTGCCGAACCCCACTCCCCTTAAAATAATGTTAGAATAGTGGGTCTACTTTGGATGCATCAACATCAACATTGTGTTGGGGGTGGGGAGGTGGAGGTGGACAGAAAGACCATATGTTGGCAAAAGTGCAGTGTCCCAAGACTTTTTACCAGGATTGTAGCTCATTCATCCTTTCAGGATGAGTATGAGTCACAACTGAGTTGACTCTTAAAATTATAGTTCCTGCTGTTGGGGGGA